TTCTTGATTTTTTTGTTAATAATGTACATTAATTTATGTTTATTTGTTTCCTTTCTTCATCACAAAGTACAAACTTCCTTTATTTTAACAGATAATGTTTCCAAAAAAAAAAAAATTCCAGGGGCAGCGTGGGCCCCCCCACCACTTCAACTCTAGGACCCCCTACTTCGACGGGCTGGCTCCGCCCCTGCCTACACTGACAAGGATATGCTCGATTTTCTCTTTAACAACAGTAGTCTCCTAAGCCCTGCTTTTTACTCGTTTCTTGATTTTACATCACACCCCCTCTTCTCAATCTCAACTTTAGTAGTATTAATTAGGTCAGCCATTTGAAACAATCTTTCACAATGGAGCTCGTTTGATACCATCTTCACCTTACACCTCATGCATTAGTTCCTCGAATAGATGGTCCCTGCCACAATGTCAATGCACATGTCAAAACACCACATACAAATAAATTGTCCCTCGTGATTTTCTCTGCAACGTTCATCGTGCTCAACGAAACTAATGGACATGTAGATAAGCTCAATTGCACAATGCAAGTCGTTTTCTTCTCCTGCTCAATTGCACAATGTTCATCGTGCTCAATGAAATATGAGATTAAAATTTATTAAATAGGGACTAAGACTTGATATTGGGTCGGAAAAAGTAACCCTTTACCGATCAATTTCAAAATTTTCATCTTTAACTTGCTCGCCCGTATGAGAATGGCTCCCCCGATGGCAGTTCGGATGGTCCATTTCACGTGATACATACATAAATGTTATTTAGCGACCTTTCTTTCGCTATGAACTTTTTTTTTTTTTTTTCACTTTCTTAAATTTTAGCTTGTCAACATAAATTTTGGGATCCGTCCCTGGATACACCGTGTTTATTTTATTCACTACACATTTCATGTGTGAACAATCAATGCAAAATCGAAGAGAATAGATCAAAAACCACGGTTGAGAAAGATTATAAAATATCAATATTACACGCAACAAGCAAGTGCATCTGTTTTGTTTCGAATGACGAATATAGGAAAGATTCAACGCTAAAATGAACCATTTTGCTTCTATTCTATCTTCCTTTTTCTGGCACAAATTTTATCTCGATTGATCACCTTTATGCCTATTAAAAGCTTATTAACCATGTCCTACCATACCACCAGGAACAAATTCTCTCCGTTTATTTAAAGGAAGAACTCATTCTTCAACAAAAGAATAAATGCTTCTGGACAAATTCATTGAAAGAGAAACATAACAAAACTTTAACGTTGTTTGGTATTTTGAGCACTAATAGTTAGAGAAATTCAGACGAAAGAACTAACGTGCATTTGGCGGAAAGAATTTATAATCACATTATGAGCATGAATAAGTTTCAGAGTCAAAAATTTTTTTTTTTTTTTGACACAACAATTTTTATTTGTTACGCGTATTTCAACGGTAGTTAAAACCCCCCACAATCTTTACTCGTTATAGCAATTATTTGCTTCACTTTTATTCGTCGAATTTTTATCTTCAAACTTCCATTAATTAGTATGTCTCGTACTTGATGATAATTTACATCAAAATATTTTATTTTCATGTTTTGAAATGAGGGAAAATATTTTTTTTGCACTTTTTATTTATTTTTTAAAAATATGATGAGAAAATAAGTTGTTTTATGTCCTTTCATCGAACTTTTGGATATAAAATCGTTATCAAATATAAAATATGATAACTATAAAAAATTGAGAATAAGAATGAAATGAAAAATCGTTAGGGATATAGTACTATAATGAGCAAAGATTAAGATCATGTTTGAGCTCTATTTTTTCTTAAGAATGAATTTTGGAATAATAGATTGATGGAGAATGTATGACTGAAAAATAAGGAAAAGCTTTGCATTTGCGTATAATATTATTTTATCGAATAATGTCTGGTTGAAAAGAAGATGAGGAAAAATGTATTTTAAAAATAATGGGAATCAAACAAGAGCTAAGAACTGTAGTCCAGTTTGTAAGTGAAATAAAAATGTAATGTAATAAATAAAAATTGTGGTGTGAATATAATTATCCCTTTTTATTTAAAAGTTTCCTATTGTATCACGCCATTTATAATAATTAATAATTAATAAATAGCCCATAATTAGAAAATTATTAATTTACAAATAAGAGCCAGCAGAATCACTCAGCCACAGTGATTGAAGAAGAGTCAAATTTCGTTACAAATTCTGTAAATAATTGAAATTCTCTTCTAGAAGCATGCAATGCAATTGAGTCGTAACAAAGTTTGCGAAAAAGTAGGGACTACGAATTCGCGCTCGTAAAAACCCTTGAACGCGCACGTAATCGCAAATCTTGCCTTTTAAGCTCATTCAAAGTTTTGTGTCTTCAATTCTTTGTATGTATATATATATATATACATATATACAGAGAGAGAGAGAGAGAGGTCAAGTGTAATTGTATTGATAAAAGAAAATGGCGGATGAAGGTCGGGCAACGAAGAAAGGATCTGAGAAGAAAGATCAGAAAGTTCCATTCTATAAGCTTTTTGCTTATTCAGATAGGCTTGATATTGCTCTTATAATCGTCGGAACGATTTCTGCCATTGGCAATGGATTGACGCAACCGCTCATGACTCTTATTTTCGGCCAGATTATCAATTCTTTCGGAGGGACCGATCCATCTCGCGTAGTGCATGAAGTTTCGAAGGTAGTTTTCTTTTCTTTCCTTTTAAGAATAGAGTTTATACTTACGAGTAAATGTATGTCGTATTAAGCAACAAGCAATGTGAATCGAGTGGTCTCCTTCCATGTGTATATTAGAAGAAACTGGAATTTTTAAGGCTTTTTCAAAATATATGAACAAATTAAATTCCAGTAAGTTTTTTTTATTGATATGATGCATAAATTTATCGTAATATGAAATCTGTTGGAAATAATAAACAGGACTAAAGCCTTCTGATCCAAAAAAGTTGGAATTAGATTTTAAGGAGCTCCCAAATATTATGGAAGGAAACTAGACTCAGTCTAATTATTTGAAATTGAACTTATACATTTTCAAATTAATTTTTCCTCAATTCTGCCATATTTGGATAAAAAAGATTGGTGATGAACACAAAGTTATGGCGGTAATAAGCAATTCCGTAAATTGAGAAAAAGGAGATTAAATTTTAGGAAAATGGTTCTCATCAATATTCATGGTATCTTTAGTTTTACTGCTTCAACGTGCATAATAAGTCTTGTCTGGTTTAGAATCTGGAAAATAATTTGGATACCTTGATCAAAGCTGGATAAAAAATTGCTTTCACTGTTGAGGTGTTACGAGTACATTGCTTACGTTATCTTTGAAATTTTCAGGTCTCACTCAAATATGTTTACTTGGCTATTGGAGCTGGCATAGCTTCATTTCTACGTACGTACTTATAGCTGCATTTATTCACACCCATGAGTTTAATATTTTGTGAATTTGGAATTTACATTCTTCAAGAATTTCGACAAATGAATTTAATGGAAACTGCTTGCTTGCTTGCGCATTACAGAGATGTCATGCTGGATGGTAAGTGGAGAAAGACGTGCATCTCGAATAAGAGGGTTGTACTTGAGAACCCTATTAAGGCAAGATATTGAGTTCTTTGACACTCAAACAACGACAGGAGAGGTCATTGGGAGGATGTCTGGGGATACTATTCTCATTCAAGAGGCCATGGGCGAAAAAGTGAGCTCTTAAACCATGAGTACATTTCACTGATTTCGTCATAGAACTTGACAGTACTGGACATGGAAATGTCAAAAAAGAAAGGAGAAACCAAAATCTTATTCATCATGTTGTCTAGTTTGATAGCTGTAACATGTATGTGCCAACTACCTGAACCTTTCTAACAAATGACTTTCACAGGTTGGAAAATTCATTCAGTTTACATCAACATTCGTTGGAGGCTTTATAATTGCTTTCTGTAAAGGATGGCTTCTATCCTTAGTATTGTGTTCATGCATTCCTGCACTTGCCATAGCCGGAGGATGCATGTCATTGCTTATGGCGAAGATGTGGAGTCGAGGACAAGTTGCCTACGCAGAAGCTGGAAATGTGGTTGAACAAACAGTGGGAGCAATTAGAACGGTAATTAACATGCTGCAATCGATACAGAATTAGTTTGCATTTGCACTTGAATTACAAATGAATTCCTGAAATATTTTATGCTTCTGCTTAACAATTGTAGGTCGCATCCTTCACCGGAGAGAAGAAAGCAGAAGAAAAGTATGATAGCAAATTGCAAATAGCCTATGCATCCACTGTTCAGCAAGGGTTGGCTTCAGGCATTGGACTTGGCACTGTTTTACTAATTGTCTTTAGTACTTATGGATTAGCCATATGGTATGGATCAAAATTGATAATAGAAAAAGGATACAATGGTGGAAAGGTTATCAATATCATGATGGCCATAATGACCGGAGGAATGTATGTAAAACATCAAATATTGTTTATTATCTAGTACTGTTCAGTAGTGCTTACCAAACTTGCATTTATTATTTTGAGAATAACACACTGTCTCAATATATTCTTGAATCAGATCACTTGGACAGACATCTCCATGTATAAATGCATTTGCAGCAGGTCAAGCAGCAGCATACAAGATGTTTGAGGCTATTGAACGGAAACCGAAAATTGATGCCTATGATGACAGAGGAATTGTGTTGGAAGATATAAGAGGTGAAATTGAACTTAAGGATGTTTATTTCAGATATCCAGCAAGACCAGAAGTTCAGATTTTTTCAGGTTTTTCATTACACGTTGAAAGTGGTAAAACTGCAGCTCTAGTTGGGCAGAGTGGAAGTGGGAAGTCCACAGTTATTAGCTTGTTGGAGCGATTTTATGATCCTGATGCTGGAGAAGTACTTATAGATGGAGTTAATTTGAAGATGATGAAACTCAAATGGATCAGAGGAAAAATGGGACTTGTAAGCCAGGAACCAATCTTATTTGCAACTACTTTGAAGGAAAACATATTGTATGGGAAAGAAGATGCTTCTGATGAAGAGATTAGAACAGCAATAGAACTTGCTAATGCTGCCAAATTCATTGACAGGCTTCCCCAGGTAACATGTCTTTACCGTTTTATTGATTCAACCAGCCATGCATGCACAGTTTTCTTTAACATTTGCTTTTACACGTGAGAAAATAACAATGTCGTGTTTACAGGGGCTTGATACTACGGTGGGTGAGCATGGAACTCAGCTATCCGGTGGTCAGAAGCAAAGGGTTGCAATTGCTAGAGCTATTCTTAAAAATCCAAAAATCCTTCTTCTTGATGAGGCAACAAGTGCTTTGGATGCAGAGTCAGAACGCCTTGTGCAAGATGCACTTGAAAATGTTATGACCAACCGAACAACTGTGGTTGTTGCACACCGTCTGACAACTATAAGAAATGCTGATCATATAGCAGTAGTGCAAACTGGAAAACTAGTAGAACAAGGTAAAAACATTACAAATTGTTAAATTAGATTTTGAGTTTAAGCATGTGAAATCAATTTGAAAATAATTTTGTCAAAATTATGCAAGGTACTCATGCTGAATTGGTAAGAAATCCCAACGGGGCATACTCCCAGCTTGTTCGAATGCAAGAAGGTACTAAACAGATTGATAATATTGAAGGGACAGACTTGCAGAAAATGGATTATAACTTAGATGGCAACTTGAGCAATTCTTCAAGTCAGAAAATTTCAATAGGGAGATCAACAAGCAACAGATCACTTCCCCCTCCCTTTGGTATTCCTGGTCATATTGACTATCAAGAAGCTCAAACTGAAGATACCAGAGATGAAAAGGAACTCAAGATTTCAAAGGAGCATAAGAAAGTTTCTATTAGACGCCTTGCATATTTAAACAAACCCGAGTTGCCATATTTGCTGCTAGGATCATTGGCAGCTGGGGCACACGGCGTAGTTTTTCCAATATTTGGACTCTTACTTTCATCAGCTATTAAAATTTTCTTTGAACCTGCACACAAGCTTAGGAAAGATTCCAGCTTTTGGGGACTCATGTTAGTTGTCCTTGGCATATGTACCTTGGTGGTTGTCCCAATACAAAATTCCTTTTTCGGAATTGCTGGTGGTAAGTTGATACAAAGAATTCGTTCTTTGTCATTCAAGAAGGTAGTGCACCAGGAGATTAGTTGGTTTGATAATCCTCGCAACTCAAGGTTGTAAATTCTTTTACTAGTAACAATCAAATTGTTTAATTGTATTCAATTAAAACTAAAAGGGATATGTTTGTTGGACGCAGTGGTGCTGTTGGTGCAAGGTTATCTACCGATGCCTCGACTGTAAGGAGCCTTGTAGGCGATGCTTTAGCACTAATAGTCCAGAATATAGCGACAGTGATAGCAGGTCTTGTTATAGCGTTCACAGCTAATTGGTTGCTAGCCATCATAATCCTTCTTGTTCTGCCCCTTGTTGGTTTGCAAGGATTCCTCCAGATGAGGTTCTACAAAGGTTTCAGTGCAGACGCCAAGGTTATTTTCTGTGCCTTAACTATATATTATGATCATTCAAGTACTAGTGTTTATATACAGACATCTAAGTAAAGATGCAATATACGAAATTCAGGTGATGTATGAAGAAGCTAGTCAAGTGGCAAATGATGCTGTGAGCAGCATCAGAACTGTTGCCTCATTTAGTGCAGAAGAGAAGGTGATGAAAATGTATGAGCAAAAATGTGAGGTTCCTTTGAAGCAAGGAGTTCGGATTGGACTTGTTAGTGGAGCAGGTTTTGGAGCCGGTTCTTTTGCTCTATTTTGCACAAATTCCTTCTGTTTCTACATTGGAGCTGTTTTAATTCAACATGGGAGAGCATCATTTGGGGACGTGTTCAAGGTAAATTTAAAATTTCTTGTCCTTATCATTCTCTTGCTGAACTTGTCTTCAATTGAACCAAAATCATCTGCAGGTTTTCTTTGCTCTAACAATGTCAGCTATTGGAGTTTCTCAAACTAGTGCAATGGCTCCAGATGTGAACAAAGCTAAGGATTCTGCCGCTTCTATATTTGAGATCCTGGATAGTAAACCCGAAATTGATTCAAATAGCGAAGAAGGTACAACATTGGCTAGTGTTAGAGGTGACATTGAATTTCAACATGTAAGCTTCAAGTATCCAACACGGCCAGATATCCAAATCTTCAAGGATTTGTGCCTGAGTATGCCTTCCGGGAAGGTATTATTCACTCAATCAAATAGATTAATATCTGATCTCTCCTATATTGCATGCTTTAGATTGTCGTCTTGTTTGAATTTAGATAAAAAAAAAATTATTCTTTATGTTATTTTTTGCAGACAATGGCTCTTGTTGGAGAAAGTGGAAGTGGGAAGTCCACAGTTATCAGTTTGATACAGAGATTCTACAATCCTGACTTTGGCCAAATATTTTTGGATGGAGTGGAAATCAGAAAATTCAAGTTAAGTTGGCTGAGGCAACAAATGGGATTAGTGAGTCAAGAACCTATTCTCTTCAATGAGACAATCCGCACAAACATTGCCTATGGGAAAAGGGGCGACGTAAACGAAGAAGAGATCGTTTCAGCAACGAAAGCTGCGAATGCACACGACTTCATATCAGGATTGCCTCAAGGATATGATACTAACGTTGGAGAGAGAGGAATTCAATTGTCTGGTGGACAAAAGCAAAGAATTGCTATAGCAAGAGCAATATTGAAAGATCCAAAGATCCTTTTGCTCGACGAAGCAACAAGTGCGTTGGATGCTGAGTCAGAGCGTATAGTGCAGGAAGCATTAGATCGAGTTATGGTGAACAGAACTACCATTGTTGTAGCTCATCGCCTGACTACGATAATGGGGGCAGACACCATTGCTGTTGTGAAGAATGGAATTATTGCTGAAAAGGGAAGTCACGACGTGCTTATGAAAATGAAAGATGGGGTCTATGCATCATTGGTTGCTCTACACTCAAGTTCAGAATAAAGCGATCCACCACTCTGTTTGACAGTCTCATGTCACTGAAAATTTTGAACTTTCGATTTAGTCCCAGTTTGATAGAGAATTTTAATCTGAGTCAATATCAACAATTAATTTTAATCACATATTTCATGTAATTTATAACTTTTTAACCACTTATTTCATCAATTTTTATAAAAATATACTAAATAATTGCTTCTAATCACCACTAAATGAAGATGTCATTTGATTAATTACTACTAGATATATAAGTCACTTAATCCTTATCTTGGACTTAACAAGATTTACTATAGTTAAGGGGGAAAAAATGTGATGAAATAATTAACTATTTCAAGAATGTGTACAACATGACATTGCAACTTCTCATTTAAAATTTCCTAAATTATTATGTTTTTATATTTTCATTTTAAATTGGCTAATCAATGAAAGGGCTTTATTTGAGTAACAAGACTTGGACCATTCTTTTACTAGTTTGACACAGATTTAATCTATCAAAGCAACTTGATTTTGGGTAAAGATCACAGCAGTCATACTTGCATACAAGAATGTCACTTGGCACTATATTTCTCAGTCAATGAACTCGGCATACATGAAAAAGACCATATTTTTCTTACCCTAAATTCTCATGGCGTCAACGTATGATTTCCCATCAAGTTCACGCAATAAAAATCCCTTCATGTAATCAGGGAAGCTGATTTTTTTGAATTTTGCTGGAGTTTCTGGAGTCACAAGGCTTGGTGCTGGACCTAAATCACCATCCACATTTGGATAGAAAAATGTGGCAATGGAGAGCCTTTCTTTCTTCGAGTTGACTGTTGCTCGATGCTCAATGCTCCGGTAAATCCCATTAGTTACAATCTGTCAAAAACATGTAATTGTCAAGATCTAACAGAAACGATATACAGACTCAACAGATCTCAATGAATACAGTAGAATTTATAGCTACACAAACTGTTGAGAACAATTTATAATTGAAGTGATTTTAGGCCATTGGATCGTGTACGAATACCTCCAAGATGCCCCCAATGTTGATAATAAAAGCATTAGGGAGTGGTACAACAGGAATCCAAGCCCCATCTTTCTTAATCTGGAGACCTTCAATTTCATTGGCTTGGAGGAGGATGGTGAGTCCAGCCGCATCTGAGTGAGGGCAGAGGCCAGTAACGAGCTCTGGTTGTGGACAGGGAGGATAATAATTCATCCTCATTGCTTGCATCCCTTCTTCAAAAACCTTATTCATTTCCTCAGCTTTCATGTGTAAAGCTTGAGCCATTAAGTTTATGATTTTGAGGGCAAGGTTTCTCAATTCTGCTGTATATTCGTCAATGGATTCCCTGCAAAAATCAAGAATAAAGGAGCCAAGTAACCACAAATTCGATACATGGTGTAAGGTTGCACTGGATAAGGCACTATACAAGATTGTCCAATCTTGTTCAGTATCACGTAAAATCTTACCTGAATTTAGCAGGCAGCTTGGGTATTAAGTGAGGCTTTCTTAATTCGATTGGTGAGGTGATTACAAAAAACATGTCTGCCCAATCAAGCTTTTGCTCTTCTGATACAACAAAGGCTTGTCCATAACCTTGCACGTCCCCTGGCTCTTGACTATACTTCTCCTTTTCCTCCATTGGGAGATTAAAGAATTCTTGAAGTTCTAACTTCATTTTCTCCACCTTTGAAGAGCTCACTCCATGGTTGATCAACTGCAAGTAGCCAAGCATTCATTGTTGTAATCACATAAAAAAATATTAGACTGAAATTAATGGATATTTTATGTGATGTTGAAATTGGGCAAGTCGTCCATGTGGGTTGACCTGTCCCATGTAATATGAAAATGGTTTCAGGGAGAAGTTATTATTTGATTTGTGTATTAACTTCGCACCGCCTATGGCCAACAAAAACTCCCTTGATTCAATAGTGACATGAAAGTGGGAGGTTAAGACTTCTCTCAAGAAAATACACAAAAATTCATATGAAAAAATTGTGCTAAATTGCAAAGGCAAGGAATCATCATTTTTGAGCATACAATCATCACATAAAGGGCGTTTGGATTGTGGCGTAGAAACTCTTTTCATTGTGATAGAATTTCGGATCAAGAAGTACAAGTAAAGACAAGACAAGTGATTCAATCTAAATTTATCTTGAAATTTCTTCAAGTAACTTTCATCAACCTTTAATCAAGTAGAAGCATGCTAGGTAACGCTTTACATATGATTGATTATAAGATCATTTTGGTGTCAAAATGTGTAGAGCTGCGAGAATATGTCCTACAGATGGACCATGTCAGGTTGAAATAACTGATTTACCTGGAAGAAACCCCATTCTTGGCATGCGGTGTGCAGTTTTTCATTCTCTGAATCATTCTCCGTCAAGATTTGCATATCAATGACCGGAATTTGATTTCCGGGTAAGGGAGAAATGAGATGGTCTTGATTAGGACGCAGGTATCTTGATGGAACAGTGATCAATTTCTCCTTAGCCAATTCCTGCACATTAGGCACCTTTAAAGAGCTGCCTAGATTTTTCAACTTTGGTTCCATATCTGAAGCACCGTTTCAGTATTTCCCCTCTGGTTCTGCCAAAGTCTCTCCCTCTTTTATTTTTCTTCTCCTTTCTAAACTCTCTCTCTCTGTTTTTAATAGTTATATGATCATGTATCTGCATTTTGGTAAACATATTTGAATTTTCTATTGACAATGCAGACTTTATTTCGTTAAAAATCAAAGAAAGTGGCACACATAATTAGGCACAATTGGTCCTGGGAATTTTCAAAGGTCCCACCAAAATCACGTGGCATGATGCGGCTTCTCAAAACTCAAAAGTGGAAAATTATGGAAAAGGCCATATGTACAGGCTTTTCCTTAACAGATATTTTGCAGGGATCTGTTTTTCCTTTATTCATTTTTTTTTCAACTTCCAATGAAATGACGCCAACTATAATTTGTGAAGGAATTCTATGAACAAATTCTGTACATATATAGCATGATTCAAATTTTTTTACTGCCAAGTAAGATCCATTCATAGTTTCAGTCCCTAATGGTACAAGGTTAAGCACCTGATGACCTGAACTGGTGTTATTACGGACATCTAGTCTCGATTTTCAAAAATTGGAAGGGAGAACTTTCGAAAAAAAAATAAAAGAAAAAAGGCCACGGTGACTACGTGATTTGGGAGTAAAACAAAAATGTTATGTTACATATTAATCCAATTAAACGATCAAATGTTGGTTTCAATATATTTTTGTGGGTTTTCAGGTTTTCTATATTTTGATATAACGTCAGATATTGACATTTTTATTCGATACGAATTAAAGAAATGATTTATTAAATATACTGTTGGTCTCCAAATTAACTTCTTTTTTTTTTGTGGCTTTGCATTCCATGTGGCCAGCCTTGATTAAAATTTTAAGGTCAAGTCTTAGTTCAATTGGTAGGAGCAAAGTATTTCTATTCGACATAGGATCTGTTTAAGATTTTACTTTACGTAGAAATGCACAAAATCGGATATAAACACGGAATTTATCTGAACTTTTCCCAACATTTATTACTCGACAACAAGGACGTTCAAATGCAAAATGTGAAGGATCAATACATATTTTTATTGTTATGTCAATTATAATTTATACAAAAACCAACATAGTTAACAACCATGACGGTAGCCTTCCGTCATAACAAGATAATTCTGTCAATGCAATGCTGCCATCAAATGAATTAGCACTCAATGCTTTCATTATCACACTAAATGCACGCATCACGAGCACATACGTCCCATGTTGCCTTGCTTTCTTGTCAAACGCACATCAATCACACATCTAGCCATGACATTGACATGGGGCAAGGCAATGCCCGTGCCAAACCCAAAAGAGGTCTAACGGTGAGACTAGATTCGAGCCTCCTTTAGGGACGGGTGAAATTCTTTTCTTCCCTTTAAGAAAAATATTAATTGAAATTTCAAGTCAATGCCCTATTATTGTTTAATCAGTCATACTACATGTACATAATCATTCACACAATCTTTTACACCTACTCACATGGAAGGGGTTTCACACACAATAAAATATTCGCGCACACTATTCATGTGAGACATGTGTAATATACCTGGTGTACAAACAGCTTTATCCTTGTTTAATAGTAGCATGCTCGTTAGTTCTATTAAAGAAGTGATAATTTGTTTACGTATCATTTTCATTTCACCCATCAAAATAAGAATAAAAAGTTTTCATTTAATGACCTGAAATTTTCCATTCCCCTATGGGTTCGTCTTTTTTTCCTATAGTTGCTGTATTGGCCAATTGTCAACTGCAAGAATCAATCAAACAATAGCATACCGAAATGATAATTGTCAAAAAAAAAAAAAAAAAAAACCTAATAATAAAATAAAATGATAGCTCAATACTTCTTGATATTTTGAGAGAAGGGGTTGAAATATGACAATCAATATAATTATTTTATAAAATGGACTATATTGAATCTAATGTGAGAAATTAATAATTTTCATTTAAAAAAAAAAAATTATTTTCTAAACATGTAAAGTACATTCTGTTTGTCAAGTATGGCATGTTAAAAATTTATGGGGTTCATCGATGCCTATGATTGACCATGTTAGACCAAAGTAAATTTTTGAACAAAAAGAATCCAAAAAGAAAAAAAAAATTGTCATTCGGTTCGTTTATCAATTTACACCTGACTTTTTGTTTAGTTTATCAATCCAAGTCATTTTACATGTCTTTATAGTTGACTCAATCTATGTTTTTTATAATTTTTTTATTTAATTACTAAATATGCCTTGCTCAACTCAATCGGAGTTAAAATCTCCAAGTAATGCTGCTAGAGCCTTGTAATTAACAAGATTAACAAACTTGCAGATGAGAACTCGTAAAAAATTTATACTAGTAAAATTTAAATTGACTTTTTAAAATTTTATCTATTCGACTATAAAGGGATAATAGTAGTGGTGATTCCCAACCTACGTGAGTCGTGACATGACATGTTGATCCCTAATCGTTTTGGGCATGAATAGTCCCCACCCAACCTTTCAAGTTTTCCATAAGTCGGGCATCTATGATCCATCCACTTGACGATAAAAAAGGTTCATGAACACTTCTTACTTTGGAGGAATAAAATAATACGTAGAACAAAATTGAGTCAAGGAAAATAAAATAAAAAGGACAAAATGAAAAATATCATGTAAAACAGTTTATCTAATTGAATTTTTTTGTTCTTCTAGATTTTTGTTTGATATTAGAAGAAAAATAGTATTTTTTGTGATCAGATCAGTTAAACAGGATTAAAGAAACCTATAGAGGAGTTGGAAACAACTAGAATATTGTCATGAAAAGGATATACCTCCTCTAGGTTCTATTGACAGCAAGCTTTTTTCCATCGTACAAGATTGTACTCCAAATTCTTTTCTTTGCAGTATGCCATCAGTAAACTCTATATTTTACGATTGACACTTCTTTATTTACATTATTTTGTCCTCCAACCATGCATTATCGTAGTCAGGCGATGAGCTACACAATAGATGTTCTATCATCATAACTCTTTCTTGCATTTCGTGCATTGTACACATCCGGTGTTATTGTTACTTCATCAAGCAAAAGGATCTTTAGATCTAGCAATACTGTATAAGATATAAAATCATTTTATTTGACGAAGCAAGAAGTGCACTCATTGCTGTGTATAGTTGAAGAAGCACTAGATAGAGCATGTTCAATAGAACCACTATTGTTGTAGCTCATTGCCTGACTATGATGATGAGGCAGACACCATTGATGTTGTGAAGAGTGGAGTGATTACTGGAAAGGGAAGTTACGATGTGCTTATGAAAATGAAGGACAACCGGGGTCTATACATCGTTGGTTGCTCTACATTCTAGTTTAGGATTGAGGCGCCACAGCTTCGCTATTCGTTCTCGATGAATCTATGCTTCTTGATGGGGTTAGGACTAATTTCTCAGGCAACATAATGACGAATCTAGCATAGTAAGCAAAGGGGGAGAGTTGAAATCCCAAAGCACCAATTTCTGAAATGTCTTTCTAGATATTCCTCAATGTCCCGACTATTCACATTGTCAAGTCCATGATGAAGATGACAAATCTCAATCTTGAATTAGTTTATCCCCTACTTGTTTCCTATTCATTCAAAACTCTTTTTTCTACGGACTCATTTTCAACCACATATTTACACAATAAAATATTATATACACAAACCCAAAACTTTTCCATATTTTTTGACTTCTCATTCTCCAAAAAATCATTATTGAAAACAATGTTTTTTCAAAAAAAATGGCCACCAAACAGGGGCTTAAATAACTTTACTTGAAATTGCATATAGGAAAACATTCACACCCATTAGATGATTTACCTACCGTAACTTCAATAATCATGAAATTTTCATTTAATTATCGTGTAATTTTGTAGGAAACACGTGAATATCACTCTTTAATTGAAAAAGCACAGAATACAAACATTGATTTAACATGTACCCACAATCCACCGGACAAAGGACAAATGAAACTAGAGTCCATCCCACAATAATAATGCTAGATGTACATTCTCCTTGACACCTTCCTTTACATCTCCTATGTGGAAGAAATTTGTGCAATGATATGATAGTTGTGGTTAAAATCAATATATTACCCTGACACCTTACTAGATATCAATTTAGGACGACGGATATGAATTGATGAAAAATTAAAAAGGAGTATTTTAATTTATCGATTTCGATTATATCAAAATAATAATTCACGTCGTTGGACATTGTGATCAAGAACCTAATGGGTCACACATAAAAAGAGAACCAGAAGAATGAGATTCCAATTAATTAATTAACTAGTGTTATACAATTAATTAATTGGATTGCTTGTTAATATGCCCGAATTAATTAATTGGATTAATTAATTCATGCACCAAATTTAATTAATTTGATTAATTAAATATTAAACCAGGTTAAATTTAAGAGACGGGTCAATTCCTCTTGGACTTATATTAATAAGCCATTAGGGTTTCAAAAAAAAAAAAATACAACAGAACATAATGCAAATTCTTGCTAGCACCAGAAAAGAGAAATCACGATTCTCTCAATCTTGTTCCCCGTGTGGATTTTCATTAGATGCTGGATAATTGGACAGTTGTGAATTACGTATCGCGATTGTTCGTGTTCCAAGATCAGCAAAATAAGTTTGCAGAATCTATAAAATTTATAATTTCTATCGCAGTTTCTTTCTAAACGCAAAAAAAATCATTGGTGGGAATTGAAATTTGCTTTATTTTTCGTTGTGCATGTTAAGTAAATTTCAACAGTAGTATCAAAGTCTACTTTGTGTTTGTTAGAAATTGTTTTGATCTTGAACAATCAAAAGTTGATTGGTTATATATATATTTTATTTATTTATTTATTTTCATGGAATTTAAAAAAAATGAATCTAAACGTTAACGCGGAGGTGGCGACTGATGACGGTGGCCGCCACCGGCCATGGATACACAAGGCAGCGCGCTCAGTGTACCGCCACGGGGCAAAAGCAGCAGTACTCGCCTTCG